TGTCAGTGACCGTCATCTGAAAGCAGTGGGGTGGTCTGTTTAACTGAAAATGCAACTTGGAAATATAAAAGAAAGCAATAATTGGGAGAAAATCCACCCCTAGGCAATCCATTGTAAATGACTCTGGCTCCATTAGTGAAAAGAAAGAGTCAGTTGCTGCAATGTTAGATTTCCCCTTCATTCTTTCACCCCGTAAGGAACCACTGGTATCTCATCTACTACTTATTTAATAACTCACGCAGTAGGTAGATGAGCTCACTGAGATGGAACCATTTATATTCTTCTCATCTTCTCACCGACAGACCATACCTTTGCTGTTTACCAAATACTCAGGCAGTAAGAGATGCCCCTCAAAGGACAATGGAACAGTTGCTCAAGGAACGTGGGGTCACCAAAGTTCTAAACATGTCAAGGCAGTCACAGGAACCAATCCATTTTTTAATTCCTAGAAATTCTCCCTGGAGGCCTGGTATCTTGGGGAATCTCCCAGCCTGCTGTGTTGTGGTTGTCTAGCCGTGGCTGCTATTAGTTGTTTTTACTGTCGTATGAAGTCAGGTGGCCTTAAGTGTTCAATTGGATTTTTTTTTTCCAAGGAAAAAGAGGCATGGAGTCAGGAAAGGATTTGCTAAATGGAAGAAATAATTATGTTCTTCAGAATCTAAATTCTTGACCACTGGGGCATAGATGACCTTCTGCACTTTGGACAGACACACTATCATGTTGTATTAATTCAGATCTGTTGACATTTTTGCTTTTGCTTCCGACATTTTCTCTTCTGCTGGCTTGCTGTAGATATTTTATGTGTAACAGGTTATTATAATTGTTCTCGAGGTGGGTTAAAGGAGAGTTTTCATAAGGGAGTGATAACTCATTAAAAGCCACCATAAAGACTATTTAAGTTCAAATCAAAAAGAATTCCTCAGCTCCTATTACGTGCCAAGAGTAGATATTCTGCTAATTTGCATGTACCGCTCCCACTGTGTGGGATATACCCACGTATTCAAGGTGTGAGAAATCATGTTGGTGAAAGGTTTTCTTTTAAAGATAGGTTAGCTGTGGGCTGGGGACAAAGAAGTGGTAGAGGTACAGCTGTTGTTTTTAATTCATGGAGTTACTGTTGAGTGGGGTTATTAATATTAGTTGAGTTAGTAATAATCTGATCACTGTGAGATGAGAGGTGGAGACACTATTTTGGGTGACATTCTGATAATGAATTTAGTAATGACAGTTAATGGATATCTTGTTTCTTTTGTATTCTTTCGTATTCATGGGGGAGTGCATATTTCAGTGGCATGTCTCTCTCTGAAAGTATAGAACTCTTCCTTCTATAGCAATCATCATTTCCCTCTCCGATTTTAGTTATATCTTTATACTTTGAGCAGCTTTATAAAATTATGATGGATTTCTTTTTTTTTTTTTTTTCAATTCATGGTTGGCAGCCATAAAAAACAAAGACAGAAAGGCTTATTGACTTCTAGGGTTATTTCTGATGAATTCTGACTTGTAAGAGTTATCACAAATCAGACATTTGAATTTGACCTCAGGTCTTGACAGGGCGAGGCTGCCAAACATGCTGACGGTGCTTACGTTTTACGTTTCGCTACTCGTTCCACTCTGCTGAGTGTGGTAGGTTGGAAAGGCAACTGCTGAAGGGAGATACAGACATCTGAAGTTTTGCTTCTTCACAAATCTTACCTTGCCCTCGAGGGCCCCTGCAGGCCATGCCAGCACACTTGAGGGCGTCCAGGACTGCAAACCATCCTTAAAGAAGCAGCTCTCTGTGCTCCTATCGGCTCACACAGTAGATGTGGCTCTATCTTCCTGTGGCCTCTCTTGGTGGTGCAGTCTCATTCCTGTTGTAAAGAAATTGTTAATAATTGAAATTAACGCTTGTGTCCTAACATAGGTTTTGGAACTTAGTTATAAGTTGTTTATCTCAGACTGCACAATTAGCTTTTGAAAATAATTTTGTTTTTGAGACTCTACCCCCGGGTAGAGTGTGGTGGCATCATTGTCCTCACTGCAAC